GTCAAGAAATCCTAGGGTGTCTCATACAGACTGGAACTCAGAACTGGAAGGCCCACAAGGAGCTTTGCCATTGGGCTCACATTTCTGAAGAAAGATTTTTTTTTTTCTTTTTCTTTTTCTTTTTTTTTTTTTTAGTTCCCTGAAAATTTGAGCTCATGCTGAGATGGAGGTGAAGGGGATTTTTCTTTTTTTTTCTTTTTAAAATTTTCCTATATGAGCCAGCCTGTAGCCTCAAAGTTCAGGGAGTTGGATCTCACATGGCCATCTGTGCAGTTTGAATCTCAGCCCCAGTGGCCCCAATAGGATGGACAAATGGAGAAGGGATTTGGCATAACCACAGCCCACTGGGGAGGAGGGTGCTTTCTCCCTCTCTCTGTTTATCTCTGGCACATGTATAGGCCCTGTGGCAATTAAACAAAATTTTTTTCCTTGAAAGATTATAAAGTGATTTTTCTTTTTCTTTTTTTTTCTTTTTTCTTTTTTCTTTTTTTTTGGAGAGATTTTTGCTATAGGGCGCGTGCACTCGCCAGACAGACAGAGAGAGACATAGAGACAGAAAGCGAGAAATCACCCCCCAGGGGGGATGGTCACGCCGCAATCCCTTCTCCTCCATTCTCCTCTCGGGATCTTGGGCACGCACGCACACGTGCCCGGCGTGAGTTTTAAGCCACCAGGTCCAGGACGTGAACCATGGTCGACTACGTGGGAGTCCAGCGACATAGCCATTACGCTAACTGCTGGTTCCCTATTTTTCTTATTATAGGGTATGTGGGCTTGCTGGAGAGACACAGAAACAGAGAGAAGGAAAGTGAGAAATCAGCTCCCTCTGCCTCCCCACTCCTGGGGGATGGTCATGCCACAATCTCTTCTTCATTTTCCTCTCAGGATTTTTGGCACCCATGTGCTTGGTGTGATTTTCCAGCTGCAGGTTTGAATCATACTCGGCCATGTGGGAATCCAGCACCTTAATCACCACACCACCTGCTGGCCCCAACATGGACATTTTAATGAGTAAAATAATGCAAGATGAGTAGCTTCTCTCCCCACCTCGAATTCTCTGTTCCTCTCTTCTTGGAAAACCCCGTCACTTCCAAGAGAGAGGGGCAGGAGGGCACAGTCCCTGCAGTGCGTTCGACTCCACGGGTGCGATCTGGAATCTGACTGCCTCAGTGAGTTGACTTGGTGGTGCTGCAGGCCTGGGGACCTTGAAGCTCCCTCGGCAGCTCCGCCATTCCCTCTGGGAAGTCAGAGGCAGGCTTGGCGAGAAGATGGTGCTTTGGGCCCTGGCTCTGCAGCCTTTCTTGGAGCCCAGCCCCTTGCAGGCTTGTCATACCAGCCCTTCCTGCTTTTGTCCCAAGCAGTAAAGCTGCTCTGTGCCATCGTGGTCCAGTCCAGTTTCATTAGCCATCATGTCATTGTCCAGTATTTGGGGATCTTTCCAGTTTCCATGGTGATAAAGGGCTCTTCTGTCAACGCTCTGGATGAAATACTCCTCAGCTTCTGGCTGATTTCCCTGGGGCTGCACAGTGAAGAGTGGTATTACAGGGCCGAAGGGTCTGCAGAGCTCACAGCTCTTGTTGCCTACACAACGATGGTCAGGAAGGTATTTTAATAGGATTTAAGCCTTCATTACTTGGTAAAGACTTATAATAATCTACTTACTATTTTATTTCTTTATTACGTTTGTTTATAATTTGCTATAGGGCACGTGTGCTCACCAAAGAGAGAGAGAGAAAGTAAGAAAGCAAGCCACCAGGTCCAGAACTCAAACTGTAGTTGGCCATGGGGCAGTCCAGCACCTCAAACACCATGCCACCTGCTGGCCCCTCTTTATTAAATTCATTCAATAGTATTCTTTATTAAAATTTTGTCCTCACAGGGTTCAGACGAGGTGCACGAAGTAACATTATTACCGTTGGCTTAGAGATGAGGGAATGGAACAGAGTAAAAGGTCATTTCAAAAACACCCTCATATTCCTCTGGTTAGAAGGGAGAGGTGTAAAGAGAGTCTTGATCAGTTGGGACTCTGCCTTGGGAGTCTCAGTAACTGCAAAGTGAAACAGGGTATGATCTGAAGGTCTCTAAGCTTCCACTCTCTGCCTGGAACACTGACAGGCTTTGCTCCTCCAAGGTGGGGAGCTGAGGAGGGGCGCTTGTCCTAGAGTCGCACTTCCCATGCATTTAACCAGCTGTTGGAGCGATCTGCCTCCCACTCATGCCTCCCTGTGGGAAGCCCAAAGATGGAGCAGACATGGAGTCTATCTGGCCACTGAGGCTGACTCGCAAGGCATCCAGTAGAGACCAAGTCTTGTCCCAAGTCTGCTCAGTGCTTCATGTGGCCAACCGCGGTGCCCACTTCCTCATCCAGCTCCCCAGCAGGAAGTTGGAGCTGCAATGCGGGGAGCAGTGCAGGGGAGGAGGACTGAGGCTGGGAGACCTCAGTCTGGGCCAGTTCCTCAGAGGGGATGAAAGATTGCAGGAGGTGGGAGGGACACTGCATTTGTCCCTCTTGGGTTGGGAGACCTAGTCCCAGGCCAGGTTATGTCCCAATCTGCTGTGTGACCTTGGAAAAATGACTTTCCCTTGCCGGGCCTGTTTCCTGCTGGTATGTTGGAATGGGAGTAGATGGCCTCTAAGGGCCCATCCTGATGGGCTGAGAGTCCCCTCCTTTGCTTCCCTTGGGGTTGCCAGGTACCTGGAGGTGGTGGTGACGTTTCTCTGCTCAGACCCAACAGGTAGAGGGTGAGTGCTTTACTGTGGGGCACTCAGGCCTTCCTTTCTTATTCTGGAATAAGGTATTTGAGCTGGGTTCTCAAACACTGGCTTCACCTTGTCTTCTCAATGGCAGAGACACTTACCATTTCCCATTTGACTCCTCAGCGCATTTCTCCCATCCTCTCCAACTTCATGGACAAACCATGGTAGAAAGCCTGGAGGGATTGTATTCAACACTGAAAAACCTGCCTGTGGGTGGAGGGGAGACCTATAGTCTCGCGAAAGTGATTGTGTACGTGACATGTTAAGAAGGCCAGCCTGTGGCATGGTGGAGAAGGAGCTGGATCCCACATCACTGACTTCACAGCTCAAGTCCTGAACCCAGAGGCTTAAAAAACACACTGAGTGTGTGCGTGTGCCCAAAATCTGGAAAGGAGGAAGAAATGGAGGAGAAAGGACTGCAGCATGACCACGGGGGTGCTTTTCCCTTTTGCTGTTTCTCTTTGGTGAGCGTAGGCACCCTCTGGCAAATTAAAAAAAAAAAAAAAAGAGAGAAGAAAAAGAAAGGAAAAAGCAGACCCTGGGCAGTGCTGCCAACACCAGCTGAGGTCAACATCAAACAGAAATATGTCACATGAATACAAAACTACTTCATCAATGTGGACAATCAAGTGCATTGTTACTGGCAATACTGCTGTTCGTAAAAACATGTCTTTTGATATCCTACAAAACAAACACATTTAAATTCCAGTGGTACCAGTTCTGGGGGCCAGTGATGCAGGAGGAAAATGTGATGCTCTGTGAGGCAATCCTACCTGGGAAGATTCTCAGTTCAAACCCAAAGACCTTCGTGAGTACACTGGGAACGTGTGTGTGTCTGTAATACAGGCCTGGGTGAAAGCCAAGAGGACTGTGGTATACAGACCCTGTTAGGGGTGTTGTCTCTTTCTCTGTCTTGAAAGAAACTTAAATATGTATTGACCATTTTTGACAACTACACCGTCACAGTCAGGATTGGTGGAGAGCCATCTACTCCTGGGCTTTCTGATACTGCAGGGCAAGAGGATTATGATGGGTTATGACCACTGAGTTATCCACAAACGGATGTATTTCCAGGCTGTTTTTCAGTCATCTCTCTGTCCTCATATGAAAATGTGAAAGAGAAGTGGGCGTCTCAGATAACTCACCACTGTCCAGAGACTCTTTTCTTGCCTATCAGATTTCAAATTGAGCTCAGAAATGACCCCTCTACTATTGAGAACCCGCTCAAGAACAAACAGAATACTGTCACTCACGAGACTGAAAAGCTCTCCCATGACCTGAAGGCTATCCAGGATGTGGACTGTTCTGCACTCCCACAGAGAGGTCTAAAAAACATGGGACCAGCAGATGGTGTGATGGTTATGCGGCTGGACTCCCACGTATTAGTAGTTGATTGTGGTTGGAATCCCTGACTGCAGCTTAAAACTCAGGCCGGGCACGTGTGCAAGTTTGCCCAGAATCCCAAGAGGAGAATTGAGGAGAAAGGATTGCAGCATCACCAGCCCCACCCCTGCCCCGGGGCGATTTCTTGCTTTCTGTCTTTTGGGTGAGCACATGTGCCCTATAGCAAAAAAATCTCTCTAAAATACATAAATAAATCACTGATGAAGCAATATGGCTGCCCTAGAGCCTCCAGAACTGAGAGGAGCCACAGGTGTGTGTGCTACCCTCCCTCCAGGGCCCCTTCTGCACAGCTGCTGTGGCATCAGACAAAAAAGCAAGATTTAGATCAAACTAAAGATTAAAAAATTAGTTTTTGGAAAAAAAGCAAAAAAAAAAATGCAGGTCACAGAATAAAGCTACAGTTGACAGCAGCCAGGTTAAGTACTACAAACATGATTTAGGAGACAACGTGGGTCAAGTAGTGAGTTTGAGTCCTGACTGAGAGACTATGACAAAAAAGTTGTTATTTGATACTTATTTCTCATAAGTAAAATGGTACAAATAATAGCAAATGGTACCTCATAAAAAATGCAAGGCTTAGAAGATTTTTACAAATAATCCTTAACCTCGACTTATTCAGTTCATAGGGTTATTTTATAATATAACCTCTTCTTTTCCTTATTCCGCACGTTCTTTCCCCCCTCCCCCTCGTGGCCCCTTCCTTCTTCCTCTGCCTCTCTCTCCTTTTCCTCTTCTTCTCTTCCCCCTCCCCTCCCTATTAGGCGTCTCCTTCGCGCAGGCGTACTGCGCGGCGGCGCTGAGTCAGGCTGCGGGCAAAGCCCGGGCATGCAGTGCGGGGGTGAGCTTGCGCCTGCGCAGGAGAAGGCTTCAGGGCGGGGCGCAGGTTTATATCCGCGGGTGGTCAGCTGACGCTCGGCATTGCAGACTGCAGAGGCAAGCGACGCCATGTACGGCCTCTTCTTCCTGGCCAGCCTTCTGGGCGCGGGTAAGCCCTAGGACGCCCCTCAGCCTGGAGAAGGGGTTCCCCGTAGCAGCGATCCTCTCTGAGCAGGCTGTACAGGGCCTAGCCCCTCGGCTCCTGCTGCCCAAATCGTGAAGGGTGCTCACTGCGCAGGCGCGTGCGCCAGGCCGGTTCTTGTTGGGATGGCCGGGGCTCCCGGAGGAGGACGAGACCCGCTTGGAAAAAACCACCTGGCGGGTCGCTCAGTGGCCTGGGTGGAAGGAGTGGGCTAGGCGGGTGGGTAGCGAATTAGCATCTCCCCCCGGGCGCCAGCGGGTGCTTGGATGCCGGGGCTGCCTGGGACAGTCCCTCTGGCTGGCCTTCCAGCTCAGTGGGTGGGTCTTATAGGGTGACCCCTGGCAGCTGTGTTGTTTCTGTGCTAAGGCGCTCGTGATCCAGATGGACCTGAACCGGGTAGGGCAGGACAGGACAGCGGCCTTTGGCCTCAGTTGCCCCAATTTGTGCGGGTATTGAGTTGCAGAAAGCACATGTATTATCTATGTTGATTACGTTTGCATATAACGGGGACTTTAAAAAGCTCGTGGAAAATGAAATGAAAGCACAAATTTATTTTGGGCTAAAGTTTTTGTGAAATCCATGGAGTTACCAAGAACTTTTTGAAGACCGCTTCCCTTCCCCTCACCCGTAGGAGTATTTAGGCTGGATCCTACATATCGATGGTGACGGTGGAGTTTTGTGAATATGATAATTTTGCGATGCAGTTTTCATTTTACCTGCTTTAGAATATCCTGCACAGCCACTGGCCAGTTTTAGCAATAACCTTATTTTGGGAAGAATGTAAGTGCATGAGAAGTTTTGCACACTGTGTTTGTTGCTCTGAAATACTGCTGATGGTTGTTAAAATCCTTCCAGGTGGGGACAGCAGGTGGTGGGGTGGTTAAGTCGCTGGACTCCCGCATGGCCTACTGCAGGACAGTCCCCTACCTGGTGGCTTTGCAGGGATGTTTCCTGCAAGCCCCAAATCCCAGGAAAATGGAGAAGAGATGGCGTTGCCATCCTTACCCCTAGGGTGGGAGGGGTGTGGGGAGGCGGAGGCGATTCCTCACTTTCTCTCTCGCTGTTTGTCTCTGGCTAGTGCACAGACCCTATGGCAAAAACCGGAAAAACAACACCACCACCACCCCCTGCAGGTTATGAAAACACACCTGAACTACTTTCCTGGGATTAGAGGGGGCCCTCCTGCCTTCTCTGTATCACCGTGACCCTTCCTTTCCCCTCTCTTAACTTTGCATCTTAACCTAGTTTAAATGTCATGGTAAAAGGAAGAGTGAGGTTGAGTGATTGTTGAAATTCTATAGTTTGATCGTCATGGAGCCAGACTTTAATTTTTATACGGAGAAATCCCCAACTCTGTGAGTTTTTAGGTAGTAGCTCCTGCAAGGGAATGTTGATTTCAGTTTCCCCAACCTCATGTTGATGGAAAAAACAAAGAATTATGATAGTTATGGATAAGATTTAAGTGTTTTTCTTAGGTTAGCTTTCAACAACTCCCAAGAATGTGCCTTGACCCTCCTCCAACCTCTTGAAGTTGCTTTCCTTGGAGACTGTGAAAGGTGATAAGACTTATAAAGAAAGGATTTTGGTTTTAAAGTTATTGAGGAAAATTTCTCTGGAGTTTATGCTGCTGCTATTCAGTAGTCTACATAATAAACTAATGCTAGTCTTTAGGTTTTCTTTTTTTAAAATTTTGCCAAAGGGTATAGGTACTCCCCTGAGAGAGAAAGTGAGAAAGCACTCCCCCACGGGGAATGGTCATCCTGCAAACTTTTTTCCATTTCTTCTCCATTTCAGGCTTTTGGGCCTGCACACACATGTGCCTGGTGTGTTTCTCAGGCTGCTGGTTCCAGGACTCGAATTATGCAGTCGGCCATGTGGGATCCAGTCATGTAACTACTAGGCAAAGGGCTGGCCCAAACATTCCATACTGACTCAGAATAATTCATGCTCCCCCAATCCCTGTTTTAGTGGTATCAAACAATTGTTGGCATTGAACCACTCCTCACAAGATCCTTAAGAGTTCTCATTCACTCAGATCACCCAAAACGGACTTAATTGTTTCTTTGCAAATGTCAAATTCATGTCTGGTATATATGGGGATATATATATATATATATATTTGCTATAGGGTGCGTGCGCTCACCCGAAAGACAGAGAGAAGCACAGAGGCTGAAAGCAAGAAATCACCCCCCAAGGGGGATGGCCACGCCACAATCCCTCCTCCTTCATTCTCCTCTCGGGATCTTGGGCACGCACGCACATGCGCCTGGCATGAGTTTAAGCCACCGGGTCCTGGACTCGAACCGTGGTTGACTACATGGGAGTCCAGCGACATAGCCATTACGCCAACTGCTGGTCCCTATATGGGAATATATTTAACCAAAATATTTAGTTAAGCAAGGGACCCTCATCCTGAACGCTTGAGTAAATGGAAGATACTTGAATGGTCTTGGCCTAACCTTGCTGCCCTGCCTTGGGATTATGCTCAGGTTGTGGTGATAATACGGTGTATGCGGCCTGGCTGGCCCTGACAGCTCTGGCTCCCTTGTGGCTTTTTGAAAGTGTTATTCCAAAAGTTTCTGAAAACACCATTGGCTCTGAATTTGTTAATAAAGGTGAATGTTGACTGCAGCCATTGTTTGGTCCCCTGTAGACTCTGAGAACTTGCAGTTTCCACATGGCGCTGATGCAGTTCAGAGTGCCAGCTTCAGCCTGCAGAGCCTTTGTGTTTTGTGCTTTCATGATGTCCTGATGGTAGATACTTGCTTTTGAGTTAACTTTTCTATTTATCCAGTTATTCTGCCCTTTTCCCCACCTGAAAAAGAAAGTGAAGCGATGAGAGAATTGGAGATCATTTCATCCAGCCTCTAAGGAGTGACTCAGAGAAGCTGGGAAGAGACTCTCAAATCAGAGACCATTTCCCACAGATGCCAGGACCAGAACCCAGATTCCTCCCTATGTGCACTCTTCCCCTTTCCCCCCATCAGCACATAACCTTTTTCTTTTCTTTTCTTTTCTTTTTTCTTTTCTTTTCTTTTCCTTTCTTTTCCTTTCCTTTCCTTTCTTTTCCTTTCTTTTCCTTTCTTTTCCTTTCTTTTCCTTTCTTTTCCTTTCTTTTCCTTTCTTTTCCTTTCTTTTCCTTTCTTTTCCTTTCTTTTCCTTTCTTTTTCCTTCCTTCCTTTCTCTCTTTCTCTCTTTCTCTCTTTCTCTCTTTCTCTCTTTCTCTCTTTCTTTGTAAACTTGCTATAGGGCATATGTGCTTGCCAGAGAGAGAGTGAAAGTGAGGGGAGATCCTCCGGGGGGGATGGCAACATGGCAACACCACAGTCCCTTCTCCATTCTCCTTTCAGGATGCAGGCATGCCCCACATTTTTTTTTTTCCTCCATTATTTTATTTTTTGTTTTTTGGAAGTTGACCAGAGAGAGAAAGAAGGAAAGTGAGAAAGGAAGCTGCCAGGTCCAGGATTCAAACTGCTGTCAGCCATGTGGGAGTCCAGCCGCCTTAACCACCACTCCTCCTGCTGGCCCTAGCCAGCATATTTTTTTCAAGCCACTGGTTTTGGGACTTGAATCAGGCAGTCAGCCCTGTGGTTTCAGTCACTTTTACCACTGTGCCACCTGGCTGGCCCCAGTATATACCTTTTCGCTTTTTAAAAATGTAATGAATATGGGACCAACAGGTGGTGTGATGGTTAGGGGCTCCCCACATGGGTAGCTGGTTCAAGTCCTGGATCTGGTGGCTTGCTTTCTCACTTTCCTTCTCTCTCTTTCTCTGTCTTTCTCAGGCCAAATTGTAAAATAATAATAATAGTAAAATAAGTTCAAATAAATAAAAAAATCTTAAAAAAAAACCTTAATGAGTATAATTTACATAATGCACATTTTAAGTGGCTAGCTTGGTGGATTCCCACTGAGTGAGCCTCCCCACTAAGCAGCCCGCAAGGTTCAGACGTAAAGTACTGACATTGTCAGCATCCAGAAGCCTCTCTGCTTCTCCATTTGCTTCCCCTTCACTTCCCCCAAGGGAAGCAGCTTTGTTAACTTAGGGCACTGTCATGTGAGAACTACCATATGTGAACTTTTCTTTCTTTTTTAATTGCCAGAGGGCGTGTGTACTTATCAGAAAGTGAGAGCCAGCAAGCACCCTCCAGTGGAGTGTGGTCATGCAGCAATCTCTCTTCCTCCGTTCTCTTTCCTGTCAAGGTCCTGGGCCACAGGCTCATGTCCCCAGTATGTTTTTAAGCCTCTGGGTCTGGGATTCGGATTTTGGTCAGCCACGTGGGATATGACTTCCTTAACCACTTCATTAGGGGTGGCACTGATCTTTTTAAATGGTTTCTTCATGATAGAACATGTGTGCACATAAGTAAGAGTGGGAGAGAGAGGCGAGCACGCTCCACGTGGTCTAATCATGCTGCCGTCCCCTTCCTCCAGTCGTCTGGTTCTTCACATTAGGGCACCTGTGGGTGTACCTGATGCGTTTCAGGCCAGATGACTAGGGATTTGAACTGTGGTTACACGTGGGATCTGGTTTCACTTACCACTGCACCACGGAACCAGCCTGGTTTTTGAACACATTACAAATGGAATCATACAGTAAGGACATGCTGTTGGACGATTTCTCCAGTGGAAAAAGGCAAGCCCAGTGTTAACGAGACAGTGTAAGCACATGCTCTGGGGCCTGGGACGTGCAGGAGCTCCCTGGAGCTCAGCCTGCTCTCTGCTGTCACTTGTGTAGTGGCTCACCAGCTGGGCGGTGTCACCTCACACTGAGGCCGGTGTGTTCTCTAGGGATGCTAGACCATATTATGTATGGATATATATTCATTTGGTAGCCTATTTTTAATTAAAATTTTTTGTGAAGTTTTTATTTAAGAGAAACACAAGATTAAAAAAATATTTAACTCTAATTAATTGATTAATTAATTAATTTAAATCTGACCAGAGAGGGATGGGGGTGAGGGTGG